GAGCACCCTCAAAGCCATATCCTGTTCTCAGGAAAACAGGGCATCTGGATATGGAATAAATGACCCTGGTCTAACTATACTGTAGATTCACCTTCCTATTCCCACAGAAACCCCAGTCAATTTCTGCACCCTATGTTGGCAACTGGCCCCTCTTGGCCCCTATGCTTGTATGGATATTAAAGGGTTATTCTTTATTCAGGGAGGGCAATACTTTAATGGATCTTACACTTGTAACTCTTCCTTTGAGGACTCCATTAAGGTCGATCACCAAAAAAAAAAAAACATTACATTTGCCCCTACAGCAGCCTGTGTAAAATCTCCCTTCCTTCTCACCTTAACTAACCAGAGCAGAGAGATACTTAATTGTACCATTCCCGGCCAGTGTCAACTTTCATCGTGCTGGAATTCCCTCATGGCACACAGAGCAGTACTTGCCGGCTGCTGTCCACCTTATGGGTACCAGTTAGCAATGCTTCTCATTTTCATGCAGTAACTATTATACAAAAAACAAATAGACAAAAAAAAAGAGATTTTAGGATCTAGGTGCCAATTGCTCTCACTATTACTGGAGCTGTGGCCGCAGGGCCAGCATCTGCTGTAGCTATAACACACACGATACAAACAGCTACAGCCTTAAACGATGCTGTTAAGGCATCTGCCGAGGTTTTCCATGTCCAAACACTTATGGATGCCCACTTTTATTCAGCTGTTCAAAATCTACAACAAATTGACCTCTTAGGTGAAGAGGTCCAAACATTATATATGCTTCACTCTGCAAATTGTGATCCAAGGTATAATAATCTATGCCTAACACCATATAAAGTAAGCAATTTGACTCAAGCTAGAGCACAGCTCTCACAGCAAATTAAGGGGCTCTGGTCATAAGAATTCCTCAATCCTTCACTGACCATGACCCAACAAATAATCGCCCTTAATTACACCCAGGTCAACCCTCTAGATTTGGATGCTTCATTTATTATGGAGGTATGGAACAATATAAAAAGTCTTTTTGATCCCTCCAGGACTGTAGCTTATTTAGTCATGGGATTAGCGATAATAATCATTCTTGTCCTTTTGAGATGTCTCCTTAAGCAGGTGCAACAAAAACGGAAAACTAATAAAACGACAGCACAGGTTCTATAAATAAAGATCATGCTCCACCAAAGGCGGTTCTACAGGCATGGATAGCGGAGGTTTCAAAAGCCCAAAAAGCACCGATATCCTGACAGACCCACCATGGTGATGCTCCTTCGAGGGCTGGTAGTCAACGATGGGTAAGGACCTACTGAGTAGGCCAACCTAGGACAGGCACAGTCCAAAATGCTGGAGCACCCATGAGGTGGGGCCAACAAGGTCGGGACAAGGCATCCCAGCTCCCACTGGGCTGTCTAAAATAAAATAAAAAGGATGGATATGTGGGAAAATGGGCTGGTAAATACTTCTGTTATTCAGGCTAACCTAAAACCTGCCATAAAGCACAACATCAAATGACACAAACAGAGGACAGCGTGCCACACCAATGAAGAGGAGACACATAGCCAAATGAACCAATGA